TCATTCAATTAATTAAGGTTTTAAGTTGAGATAAAAAAGTCAGTGTCACGAGCGGGATTCGAACCCACGACCTTCGGCTTGATACGCCGCTGTTCTACCACTTGAGCTATCGTGACCTCGATCCACTCGGACACTAACTTTCCATCTCAACCGCACCTTTTGAATTTTCCCTTCTTTTTGCCAAACCGAAGATCGTGGGTTCGAATCCCACTCGTGACGTTGACGTTTTTATCTCCACTTAAAACCTTAATCAATTGAATATTAGTATTAACGCTAAATTTACCCAAAATTTAAAAAAAATTTGTTTGTCATTATTCTACAATTAGGACCTTTAAAAACTACATTAATATAACTTGACAATTTAATATGCATATCAATTTAATAAAATATAACGAATTATAAATATTAATTTATAATGATTTTAACGAACAATAATTTAAATTTCTGCAGGGATGACGGTAAGCCTTACTTGAAATGCCGCGAAAATAAGATAACGACAGTAATTATTATGGGATATTGAAAAATAGCTCGAAATGCTTGAAGATCGGAATAAACCAAGGTCCGACAAGTAAATCCAGCTATTTCATGGCGAACCGAAGCTGTTAAATTCGATGAGTTTTTAACTAAATGACGATGAAAATTGGTACATAGTTGACTTTTTAAACGAGTTATTTTCAAAATAGCCCCCCGTTGGCCTATGATAGTGATAGTATGATAGGCGAACTAACCAGACCGTATAATTATTCGAACAAATTGTGCATTTTAAAAAGGGTGTCCATATCAACCGGGAACGGCGGACAAACTTGACAAACAAATAATGTTTGAGAGTTTCTGCGGGGGTTGAAGCCTGTCCGGGGTTGTTTGCCCCAGGCGGGCAGGTGACAAAGGGGCGAGCCACCCCCTGGCCAGGCTTCTCCGCCAACCAGACATAGTTCTAAAAGGTTCGCCTCACTGGCATCCTTTCTCAGGCAACATTATATCAAAGGACGGTGTAAGATTTATTCATAATTTGAGCAAAGTTGCTGACAAAAGGATCTTATTTCTATTTTTAAATATTTGGCGCCTGACTAATTTTTTGTTGACCAATTACAAAAAGGAAATTTTTTTAAATTTATTTCACTTTATATGCCTGTATCGAATGTTACTACCAGACATTAAAAATTGATCATTAATATAAAACTAAAAATAAAATAATATGTAATTTTAAAATTTTAGAATAAAGAAAAATATCATTATTCATCAAAAATAAATTCCAGTTTGCTCTGAGTTATGATATCCAACACTAAATATCTGTATACTCAGACAGACAGACAAACATATAAAGAGAGTTTGAGAGAATTTAGCCTCGAAAAAAGAGACTTTTGTTGATTTAAGTATTCCAATTTTTTTGTTTAATTTTTATGAATGTTGATGTATGTTGTTAATTGTACACAATATTTTAAATATTATATTTTCAGTAGTACAAATAAAATGAGAATTTTATAAATTTATTTTCCATAGTATAAAAGAGCATTATTGAAAATGTAATTCAATATATGTAAAAAAATGTTGTTTTTTTTCGTTTCATGAAACTGTAGAAGCTGAGATATTTTATAAAACCCCGTAAAACCATTGAACACAATCCTAATTAATATTCACATGGTTATCAACTCTACGGAATTTCAATTTAAAAAAATCCAATCCTTTTATTTTTCAATTCTGTGTAATTTATGTCAGTCTATAAACCATATCCTTATTTAACGAGAAGCCAGTATGAAAACCTGTTGGAATTTCGATTAAAAATTAAGTCCCATTACAAATTTCTCTGTTCTAATGAGGAAGTTGGCCATGAAATACTTTTACTACTGGCCCTACATAAATCCTTCTTTTATGGTTAGCAAAGACCGTTGATATTTTTGTGTTTAAATTGAATATTATGACACTAAAGCTTTGTTGGGCAGGATAATATAATTAAATTTGTTGAATCAACGAATAACAAAAGAGGAAATGTAATTTTGTATAATTATGTAAATATACTTTAATAAATCAATTTAGAATAATAATAAACCATGAGCTTTGTATCTTAAAGGCCACATTTATGGTTTTCTTACTAAATGAACATATTTTAATTAATTTACCATGAAACGGGAACTCTATGAAAGTTGTACAGATCAAAAGTTCTCATATCATTAAATATTAAAAAGGTTTGCAAAATATTACTGCTCCTGAAAGTAAAATTGCGAATTTGTCTGTCAGTAAGTTGTTTAATCATAATTGAAACAAACGTAATACAAAAAGCGGATGCTGTTTCCGTCTCAGTTAAAAAAGATTTATGATAAAGGTTAAATTGTTTTAAACAGTGCATGAAACTCAGAAATCATTGAATAATGATGTTAATGCTTTTTTGACGTGAAAGTAACGAAAATTGTTTTGAAAGAAAACGATTTGTTTTAATAAAAGGTTGGTGAAGTTACTTTAAAAGTGTGCACTTGAAGAGGAAGTTTAGGAAAAGCGCACGAAAAATTTTCAAATCGATCCAAAGAGGGATCTTTCAAAACTTCTCAAAGTACATGGAATTATTAAAAGACTTGTGTATATCGCAACTTTTGGCTAAGTTTGTCGAGAGGATAGAAACTTCTTTAAATTCCTCGACAAGAAGAAATCCAATAACGAGATTAGCGTTGACACCGCTGGATCGAAAGGGTTACTTACGTTTTGTTTATTATATTGAAAAGTCAAACGTGTGTTTATATATATTTTTAAAAAACCGAGAATAGAATCTTTGACGTTGCGAGACGGTACAAAAACGATTTCCGTAGGCGGTGGCTGGCGGGGATCTAATTTCAAGTGAACCCCTTTCGCTCAGCTAGTTAACAAAAGGCTCCTCCTTTTTAGAGAGTGGAGAGATGTCCGTTATAGAACTGATTTCACCGATTCCGAAATGACAGCTTGTGATGAGGAATATCAGGAAAGGAAATAAGCAGATAGGGAAGAGATGCCGAATGATTATGAAATCCAATTTCCTAATCAGAGAGTACCAGATTGCCTTCTGGACAGAACAGGTAGTTTCAATTTACTTAACGTTTTCAATAAAAATTATTGGAAGATTCAATATAAGAAATGGCCGTTTAATAAAAAAAACATTGTTTTCTTTGAGAGATCTTTCAAATATTGAAAGTTTATTAACAGCTTGGCACCCCTATGATAATGCTTTATTGTGTCTCACGCTCGATTTATTTTATATCCAGAAAAAACTCAATGAAAAATCCAATTCATATATACTAAAACCTAGAAAGAAAGAGAAAATCGAGAAATATTTTCTCTTATGATGCTTTTTGAAAACGCATGTGTAGAAAACACGTAGCAACGAACGGTGATTTAGAGCGAAGAAACTGCTCATAAAGGTTAAAAGTTACAACTGAATCCTATCATTAAGCCATTTCAATAAATAATACAGCGTTAGCAATATGTTGGAGAATAAATCACTTAATAATTGAACCGGTTCAAATTATTGTAATTATTGCGCAACATGACATTGATTATTAAGTAAATAACTAAATTCACTAATTTCGAGGTCCGCGTGACTAATTAATATATTACAATTAATTAAAGTTGTTAGTTGAGNTCACCGCGCTACACCCGCATCCTAGACTTGCTCATTAACACAGACATGAATGACATTGTACATCGCATAAAACGCCTTTCAAAATGTTTCTTTGAACGATGTGAGCTAAGCATCAAGTGGAAAAATTGGGGACCATGACTTGGACTTTGTGAACGGCATAGCCGAGTTTATAACTCTTTAGTTTAAAACTTGCTTAGGGTTTTTCTTACTGTTTTACCCTTAATTTTGTCTTGTTGTAACACTCTTACACTTATTTTCTGAATCATGAGGTTATAGCATAATCTGGCACTCCTATGTAATTACGTTTAAACTATTGTAAATATTTTTTTTCCAATTAATTAAGGCTTTGGTTGAGATAAAAAAGTCAGTGTCATAAGCGGGATTCGAACGCACGACCTTCGGCTAAATACGCTGCTGCTCTACCAGTTGAGCTATCGGACACAAGCTCTCCGTGGCCATTTCATTTGTCGCCGAGGATCCAATAAGATTACACGATATTTGAAAAATGGCAAAAAGGAGGGAAACTTCAAAAAGGTGGAGTTGAGATGGGAAGTTAGTGTCCGAGTGGATTGAGGTCACGATAGCTCAAGTGGTAGAGTAGCGGCGTATCAAGCCGAAGATCGTGGGTTCGAATCCCGCTCGTGCCATTGACGTTTTTATCTCAACTAAAAACCTTAATTAATTGTAATAAATAACTAAAATTGAGCCAAGTTAGTTCACACCCATTCACTTAAACCAATATATTACCAGATACACTGGCGTAAATATTTAATTGTCCTTTGATTCCTGTTGCTTTTTTATTGATAGAGTATTCTTAAGAAAAATACTTGATTCGCCATTATTGGGAATAAAAAGCTAAACAGCAGCGCCGTAGAAATTTTTCCGGTGAAATGTGAAGAATTATTGTTCGCAATATTGTAATATTGCGTAATAGTACTCTAGTAACATTATGACAGAGCATAAATAGTTTAAATTGCAAAACACCTCATTTTAAATGACGAAAATCATCGACGGTGCAATAAGACGATCGAATTCACCAAAATAGAAGAAGTCAATAAAACTACCCTAAACCTACTTATTTCCCTCATCCTTCCTATTCGTCTATGTTATTTTTACCTGTGGCACACTGTAATTAACGACTTAGGGTGAAAAGCTAGGTTAAGTACTTAAATCCAAAAGCAAATCAAGTGCTTCATATTTTGGTTAACAATTGTTTTTTAGTACAATTGCTTTTCAAACTAGCATTACGGATGGTTATTAATATACAACTGATTGACCACCTCGAATAATTTGGTACCTTAGAGTTTAAAAAGCGAGAAGAATGTTCCAATTTTTTTAATAAAAGAATATTATCTGTTGGAAATATAAGTTTTATAAACAGTCAAAAGTTACTCACTGATCATAAAGGCCGCTCTGTTGGTCGTCCGCTTTGCTCTATAGGTGAGAGGTCTAGTGACAGAGAAGTACCTGTCGAAGCTGATGATTAGCAGGTTGAGGACAGACGCGTTGCTCGCGAGGTAGTCGAGAGCGAGCCAGGTATCGCAGACATGAGGCCCGAGAGGCCAGTAGCCCATTATGGTGGAAACGGTGAAAAGCGGCATCGAGATTAGGCCGATGGCGAAGTCAGCGACGGCAAGGCTGAAGAGAAAATAGTTGGAGATGGTCTGGAGCTGTTTGTCGATCTTGAAAGAGATCATGACCATGATGTTGCCGACGACGGTCACTATACTTAGGAAGATGGCGACTATTGCGATGAAGACGATCTGGGTGATGGTGTAATGGTCTTTCGGTTGGGCCTCTGTTACGTTCACCAGGCTCTCGTTAATACTCACATTGAGAGCCTCAGGTACCATATTGCCCCACCACCACGCCCGATCTCACTTCTCTCCGCCCATCCTAAAAACAAAAAAACATACATGAATGATTTTCATACTACGGAAAAAACAAGACAAAGACGAGTTGAAAGTACATCTACCTATCAATTTGTTATCTACTTTAAGAATCCTTAACTTTGTCAGATCTATTAGCCTTAACCCAGTAATGTTCGAAGTTCATGAAAGACACTTTTTCCATCCTCGTCATTCCACGACTCAGCCATGTTTCAGGGTTGTTGAGATTATTTACTCTTTATAGAGCTCGGGTGCATTCTTAGACATGTCACAAGCGTTTGAGGGTTGGGCACCCGGGAGTTCTCTTCAAACGTAAGCCCTACCCACTTTTTATTATGAAAACCTATCTAACCGACAGCTGTTTCTGAGTGAGATGCAAGACAAGTTAGACCGATCCAGCCGGCGTTCCTCAAGGACAAACAAAATCAGAACAAAACAAACTTAAATATATATACAAATTGACATAATTAATAGATCTAGAAAACTTGTTTTGAAGACCGACCAAGTCCCAATATTCCCAAGAGACTGAACAAAGCACTATTGGCTACTTATTTTTTTACCTTCTGCTATTTACTATTAAAAAACTGGTGGTATTTCCTACTGTCAATGTTGCTCTAAAGTCCATTGGCTACTGTTACTTTGAGGTATATAATCGTAAATAGTCCCTCGTCTACCTAAGCAATAAAGTCCCAAAATATTTATTTCTGCTTGAACAATATGAAAATATGAAACCCTCCCCCGGTCTTTGAATTCAAATGTATCCGAAAATAAGAAACCAATCTAATTTTTCTTAGTGTCATTTTTATATTAAAAAATCTACTTATTGAAAAATGTATTCAAACTTGGCATGTCTTATTTGAAAATATAACGTTGATACTTAGTAACATTAAAAAAATGTTTAGACCTCATATTTTTTAACCTTGGAAAAAACTATCGGGGTTACTATTTAAATGTTTTTATAACCTTTCGTTTTGGAGAAAAGTGGTCATTGCAATGAAATAAGGACACGCTGTAGATCATAAATTAAATTATTTTATTGCTGGGCACAATCATAAAAAATACACCATGAAAATCTTTCTCTACTTATCTTACAACATAGATTTGGTCGGTCTCTAATTTATCAAACCAATAGCTTATAAAATATGTAATGGAGAAAAAGTAATAAACATGTCAAAAGCATTTTAAAAAAAAAGAACAATTTCAAAATATGAAAAATCGTTTGTATGTTTTCGTAGGATGATGTCTTACTAAAAGTAAGGATGTATATGAATAGACTTCATAACATCGAAAAAATAACGAATCATGTATGACTAAATAAAACATTTTTATTTAAACCACTTAGAAAAAGTATATACTCACCCTGTAAATAAAGGCAAAGAAGGCAAAGAAAAAATGATTTTACAGAACCACTGTTTCAACACCCACCATTTTTGTATAAAGAACGTATTATTCGATAAATTTGTTTTTTCGAACAACTAAATGATAAATTTAACGTATTATTAAAGTCTTTTCAGTTAATTTTCTTAGAAACGAATTGATTTTCATAGACATAAGTGAAAATGAAGGATGTCATTTGGAATTAAAGAGTTAGATATGATTTTCGTAATAGCCTGCATAAAATCACAGATTTATTTCGTGGAAATGATGAATGATGGAGTGAATGTGGTGGTTAATCCTTTTTAAAAAGATAGTTCCTACTCACAATAAGAACTTTTATCTTAATCTCCACTTCCTTAAAATCTGGTAGAAAACAAGTACTTTTAAATCTTTATTATAAATTGAGACTTTCATGCTCAAAAATTAACAAATCAATGTGGTTCAATTCCCAATGTTTGAAATCAAATCTAACCCCAAAATTCGTTCTTGTTAAATTAAATATTAAAAAAAACACAGGAACTATCTTTTTAAAAAGGATTTATTATGTGTTCAAAGGCCAAAAAATAAAGAAGTTTATGTGGAGTTTCAATCTTCATGCAGGTCATTAGACAGGTGAAGAAAGAAGAAGACTAATTGTTGGGTTCACAAGCTTTCGGCAACTTATTATGCCATCATCAGGGTTTTTCCAAGAATGCAGAAAACGATTAACATGGTAAAACTATTGTAAAAACGTCTTGGGTTTAAGTTATGAAGCACATGGCCAGAATTTAACGTGGTGAAAATAGTCATCTCTCTAATAAAAATCCATTCGACTATGGTTCAACAATTTTGTTCTGACTAGCGATTTCTTATAGGTAACATTTATGATCACCGAGTATTTTGACTAAAATTATAGCTATAAAGACTATGTTCACAGGATTAACATTAATGAGTGTGAGAGAGCGACACACACCGTCGCCTCAGGCTGGACTGTTATGGTTAGTTCATACCACTAAGAAACCACTAGTAAAGGTCACTAACCATAACAGGCCAACCTGAGGCGACGGTATTTGTCGCTCTCTAATCCTGTGTACTTATTCTTTATAAATAGCTATAATTTTAGTCAAAATACTCTGTGATCATAAATGTTACCTGTAAGAAATTGCTAATCAGAATAAAATGGTTGAACCATAGTCAAATGGATTTTTATTAGCGAGATGACTATGTGCTTCATATCCTTAACCCATCCATAACCTTAAGACGTTTTTGTGATAGTTTTACCAAGCTATTCGTTTTCTGGACTCTTGGAAAAGCCGTGATGATGGCACTATAAGTTGCCGAAAGCTTGGTGAACCCAACAACTAGTCTTCTTCTCTCTTCACCTGTCTAATGACCTCCATGAAGATTAAAACTCCACATAGATTATCTGCAGGTCAATCAACAAACATCACAAAGAAATTTATTGTTTAATATTTTATTTTAGCTATTCTCAATTTTGAGAAAGAGAGGTTAGACATTATGTGTCAGACACCCCGTAAAGTTATCGACATTTCTCACAAAATAGCTATAGTATGTCTCTGAATGTTCGAAACTAATAGTTTGCAAAATAATACAGCAAGAAGAAATAAACTTGTCAAAATCTATAATTCGTTAATTGCATTATCAAAACCATGAAAAATTGTTTTCGTTGGATAAAGTTTCTCTAAACGTAACAGGGCATAAGAAAGGCGTAAGTTGAATTTGTAGTGGGGACAATAACAGTGTGATTTCAAACCCCTGCCTTGTTCAAATTTAATTTAGACCTCATAACCCCCTCCCGTCGGAAAAGGGTACATTTAATAAAAAAACCTCCCTTAATTTCCCCTTAAGAAAAAAACAGAAACTTTTTTAGCCAAAATTGCGACGACTGTCTTTACAGAATTCCGCAACTGTGGTATTGCGCGAGACTTAATACCGTGCAACAGGTATTCTTTTGGCTCAGTACACCAAGAATGACACCAAGAACGATATGGGCCCATGTCAAAAAATAATTCATCACTTTCGCCCGCGTTAAACGGAGGGACGTTTTTGGTAATGCAGGAGTATCGGGTTAAAGTTACGCCACGGACAGATGAAAACCAGCTCTTATCCAACTACACTGACGGGGGCAAAGAGACACCCCAGGCTCAAATTAATTAGTAATGACTTACGCAAAACTCCTCCCGTTTTCACCAATAAAACTCAACTGTTACGATTTGTTTAGATTAAAATATTGAATGTTTATCTAAAATCTAAATGAAAAACCGAATATCACTATGACTGTCAATCGAGCCTAAACTTATAAAAAACTGATAAAATACATTAAATCAATTACAGACAAGTTGGAACATTGCTTCGTCGGAAAATTGTTGTCAAAACAAATATAAAATCTACGGATCCGCAGGGAAACGAGGAGTCCAAAATGAAAGTATGTAATAAGCGAATGTCTTAAGAAGGAAGCTATTTGTAATGAAGATGCTTTTTTTTTACCTGTTAACTTATTGTTATTGGTAATATTTATTGACATTTATTTATTTTTAAAAAATTTTCTAACCTAAATCTAACTTTCATCATCCCGGAAAGTTTTCAATTTTTTTATAGCCTTCTTTGTATAATTACCGTTTATCAAATAAAATGAGGATTGGCCATGGATGAAAAAAAGTTAATGAAAAAAATTTAAAAAACTTTCATCACACATTTTTCTCTCACTTTGGTCATAAATCAATTTTGTCAATTGTATTATCTTGATTGTTTACTTACTTTAAAAAAACAATAATATATGCGATGGTCAACCGAATACGGTAATATAAAACCAATAGGTAATATAAGAAACAAAACCACACAAGTAACATATTTATAATGTTATAAACAAGAAAAATATTTTCATTCGGACTTTTTTTTTGTATTTTGCCTTTATAAATAGATGTTTGCAAAACACGGCGCCCTATGTGATATTCTGAATACTAAACCCGCAAGACTGATGAGTGTTGAAGAAGTGTTGGTCTTGCGCGCCGTTAGGGAAGACTTACAAGCTGTTTTAATTAATCAATGAAATGAATGATAATTTAGCTGTTTCTCTTAAAAGAAATCAAAATAATTTAAAAATGAACAAAAAGAAAACTTAGAATAGGGTTAACAACAAATCAGACCAAGATAAACTAGACGTGCTGTGCGTTAATTGTTTTTAGTGATTTCCTTTTTTTCCGTGTTTTCATTAATACTTTCATTGATTATAAATTTAGTTTAATTTTAATTTTTTATTCCAATTTAAAATTACTAATAAAATTACTACTATTCCGTGCCAGTAGTCGTTCGAAAATCATTGCCCTCTATAGGCGTTTTTTATTTTAACTTTATTTAATATTTCTAATTTACAAGTTTCAGTTCAATTTTTTAATTACTAATTTTTGAACGCGAGGTTTGAAATAAAAGTCAATGTTATGGATGGGATTCGAACCCACTGTGTCCAGAACTGTACCTCGATGCGTAATTTTGTTTCTAACAATTCCGAATTTACTCAGCTAATAAAACAGAAGATGCTGCAAAGGTCAAGTTCTATCAGGTAGCTACCCATACGGAACCTTCTCACAAGAAACTTTCAGCTTCTTCTAAAGCTAGGGAAGGAAATTTTAC